ATGTCCCCTGGGGGACAAAACAGCTCCCAGGTGAGAACCACTGGTCTAGAGCTTCCTTGTGTTGGGGGTCCAGAACCACTTTTCTGGAAACTCAGTCATTAGTTCCTTGGTAGGGCCACATTGATGAGGGTTATTTTTTATGGCCTTACCAGAAAAGTTTTATTATTTATAAATATTACTTCTAGGCTGCTACTCTAAGCATTAGTTTCTATGATTTTAAAAAAGTGCCTTTTTTTGGGATGCCCAGGTAGCTCAGGGTTTAAGCATCTGCCTTCGGCTCAGGTTGTGATCTCGAGTCCTAGGTCAGCCTCCCTGCTCTGCAGTGAGTCTGCTTCTCTCTCTGCCCCTCCCCCAACTTGTTCTCTCAATCTCTCTCTCAAATAAATAAAATAAATAAAAAAACAAGACTTACAGTAAAATTATCTCCATCATATAGAGTAAGAAACAAATTCAGAAATGCAGGCTACACTGTGGAGTATTATGCCTCCATCAGAAAGGATGAATACCCAACTTTTGTAGCAACATGGACGGGACTGGAAGAGATTATGCTGAGTGAAGTAAGTCAAGCAGAGAAAGTCAATTATCATATGGTTTCACTTATTTGTGGAGCATAACAAATAATATGGAGGACATGGGGAGATGGAAAGGAGAAGGGAGTTGAGGGAAACTGGAAGGGGAGATGAACCATGAGAAACTGTGGACTCTGAAAAACAATCTGAGGGTTTTGAAGGGGTGGGGGTGGGGGGAAGTTGGGCCAGCCTGGTGGTGGGTATTGTGGAGGGCACGGATTGCATGGAGCACTGGGTGTGGTGTATAAACAATGAACGCTGAAAAAGTAATTAAAAAAATAAAAAATTTAAAAACAAAACAAAACAAAAAGAAATGCAGGCTAATTGTCTCAAGATAGGATCGTAAGAGCTGTTTTGACGACTGATACCCGGGTCACTCTCATTTGGTTATTCACCATTTCTTCCTCTGCTCCACTGCCACCTGGTTTCCCACTCAACCCCAGGAGTCTGGGCTATGTGTACACTTCTCTACAACCACCAGTACTTGCATGATCCTTGGCATTAGGTAAAATAAATGCTGTCGAAGGAAAGAAGGAAGAGAAGAAGGAAAAAGTTTCAACTCTAAGCCCAGGGTTCCGGTGGTAACTGGATTAGTCTCCGAGCCCTCTGAGCCATCAGACAGAAGGGTAATAATAGCAACATCATATTCACACTTCCAATTTAGAGAACTTTAAGAGTTTTTGAAAAGTGTTCGAGGAATATTTCTCTCATTTAATTGTCAAAATATTTCTGTGAGCTAAGTAGAACAGGTATCATAACAGAAAGTCATTATCCAGAGAGTGGCTAGAGCTAAAATTCTGATCTCTCAACTCCGAACTGTGTAGAAGGAACAGGAAGAAGTGCAAAGAAATTAATGCAGTATCAGTTAACAAGAGGAATAAACACACTTTATCAAAAGTCTTGATCATGCCACAAAGATTGAAAAGGAACCAAGAAAAGAGAACTAATTGTCTCTTTCATTTGCCATGCAGAAATGCTTAAGTGTAAGCACGTGTTTGCAGCTGTACGAAACTATTGCAACTTGATTGCTGTCCTTTCTCACTTCTGCTTTTTTTAAACTTTCTATACCTGGGTGTCTTTTCCCTTAAAAAAATAAAAAAATAAAGATCCTCTGATTTCACTTCTCTTATTCACATTCCTCGCCCTTTAAAAGTAAATGACTGTTACAGACAAACAAAAAGAACTGAGAATAATGTCTCCATGTCTCAATGTCAGGGTGTGCCCCACTTTTCATAAGGAATACAGAGTTCTTTCTAAATACTCCCTCCCACGCGACTTGATTTTATTTCTGCATAATTCCACAAGGGGCTTTGTTTTAGAAGGGGATACTACAACTAGTCAGTTACACTGACTGATTGGAATATGTAGAATTTTTATTTACTTTCAATTTGTTGTAATCACAACGCAAGCTGAATCAACAACTAAATAGTTCCTTAAAAAAATCAAAGAGCATTTAGCAGTAGCTTTCTCAAATGTTTTCCTTCTGAAGTTCTCTTTTACAACTTTCTTAATACCCATGGCATTTAGGACACGTATGTCCTTAGTACACTTAAATTTTGTTAACCTAGCTATGTTATACCAAATTCCTTTTTATTTCGACATTTTCCTTGAAGTAAGAAGTTCTGTTTGTTTTTTTAACCCAAGTGAGCTTTCACAGATTTCTGCCACACCTCTAAGAAAAAGAAATAATTTGACCTAATGCAAAACTAATTTATATGATGAATAAATAACATTTCTGTGAAAAAAAATGTTCAAATTGGGCACCCAGAAATCTAAGGAAATTTTTTTCAGCAGAGCCAAGGGATCCTATATGAAATATGCTTACAAAGGCTTCTCTGAGGGTCTGATTAAAATAATAGTAATAATAATAATAATGGTTATGATGCTGCGGCTGATACAATTGAGGTGGTCTTCGTCGTCATGGAAACAGTAAGTTCTCTTGCTCCATGGAATAAAGAAGTTCCTCCACCAGTTACATTCCCTTGAATCCTGCTTCCTTCAGGAGGGAGTTAGTGTGGGATACCCAGAGTGTTATTTGTGTGGTGGGACCAGTGAGGCGTGGAAGAGTGTGTGTTTCCTCTGCAGATTCTTGCATTCAGAAAGTCTCCTAGGAGAGGGAGGGCAGCTACTCCTAACGGAGGGAGGGCCTGATGGGCTTACACTGGTATTTTTAGTTCTAAGGATAAAACTATCTCTAATTTTCTTTTGCCTTCTCTCAAACATTTTAAATTATAATTCATCATAATATTCACAATTATTAATTAATAAATTATTCCCCATTCCCCTCCGGTTGATTACTTTGCCAATAGGTTTCCTGACGGTATTGGCAGGTTAAGAATTATTCTTAAAGCCATGGTTGCTTTACTTAAGAGATGATATATTGTACATGGTTATAGCTTGTCATTACAAGGCTTCAAAGAAAGCTTAGACGGGTGCCCGGCTGGCTCAGTCAAAAGAGCACGTGATTCTTGGTCTTGGCGTCATGAATTCAAGCCTTATGCCAGCTATAGAGATTACTTAACAACAACAACAGTAACAGCAACAACAACAACAACAAACTTAAAAAAAATAAAAAAACAGAAAACTTAGTGTTGGGTCTATGGCCAAAAGAGCGAGACTGATACAAAGCGAAGGTCAAGCTAAGCTTTATTTAGCACCAAGCATGGAGAATCAAACTGACCCGCCAGGGCCGTCTCTTGCAAAGAGGCGAGCCCTCCCAACCTCACAGACTAACTTTTATAGAGTAAAGGTCATGTGGTTGAGCCTGGCCACCAGGTGGCCAATTGAATTACAATTCACCCTATAGTAGCTATTTGAACTAGCCTATCACTCTGGTCAGAATTGGGGCCCAAATGGCAGAGCCCACATTCTTGGGTGGTTAGGGAGGTGTTTTCCTGATTTGGATGTCTCCACCTGGCTTGACTCATCTTTGTATTCTGGGCTCTGTTACCTCCCCCTGACCTGACACGTCCTGGTATATGGGCTCTGTTATCAGGGGCTGGTCAGTCATACTTTACTGGTTTCCCAGACTTGTTTCTAAGTAAGTTCCTCTGGGGAGGCAGGGTCAATCTAAGTTTACCGCATAAACAACAAAATGGCTTGCTCTGGCTAAGTAGGCCCTTACATTTAGAATATGGAGACAATGTTACGCATAGATGCTGAAAGTGTGTTCAAAACTTCAGTGAGTTTCTTTTGTCTGCACTTAACTTTGAGCAGAAGGAAAGCTCTGAGGTTTTAGTCTGTACCTCAAGAAAGTGACATTTGTTATAAGGATTTTACGACCAATTCCCCTTCTCCTCATTTAAAATGTAGGAGATAACTATTTTTTTCTTGTATTTAAGCACTGGGATTTGTTCTAAAAATTGGACACACTTTTCAAATCTCAAATACACAAAACCAAGATGATATGACATTTAAATTTCATTTTATGCAGCATCTAACCAAGGACAGTCTTACAGCATCTAACATATGCCAAAGGATTCTAAGATAAATAAAGCATAATCATTACCCTTGAGCCAGTAGTGTAGGGGGACATTTCAGAGCTATTTGTACAACCCAAGTTGATTTTTAATTTAAAAATATGTTTTATTTAAACTTTTTCTGCAACTGCTAAAAATCAACCTACTGAGGGAGTGCACCACACACCATTTAAATCCTAAAGCCTTTAACAGAGGATGCTGGGATTAAGTGGCAGCAAAGCCACTAAACTACCCACTGTATTTTGGGAGTCAAAGTGAAAACAGACTTGGACTTGGGGGAAAGCTCAATGTCTTCTTGGTAAAATGCCAACCACAGGATCAGATATCTGAAGCAGGTTTACTGCTGTCATCTTAGTATCCAGGAACCCAATATTGTGCATCATATGCATTATGAGGAAGTTCCCTGATTTCTTCTGACCTAGAAGGAATTTTTCTCACTTACTGAGCATGCCTGTGTGCATTCGTCTCAAGGGACGTCTGGTAACACTGGCAAAGCAGGTAGACAGACAGATCAGACCCGTAGTTTGTACAGAACCCCAGTAGCGCATCTGTGGTTCCAGTAAGAAACTCAACTAAGATTCCTACTCCTTTTGGAGCCCCTCCCCCATCCAGTTTCCAGTTAATTGTAAGATTTACAGTTGGTGTCAAATAGGCACAGAGAGAATAACTATATATAAATTTGGTTGTAACTGTAAGGTGCCAAAGAACACTCAAAGAGAGACCTGGGGCGGGGGGAGTTCCAGGCAAAGACCCAGGTGACACTGGGATCACGTCTATGGTAAGATGGACTCAGTGTCCATCACAGCCTTCTAATAGTAATATTATTATTATTATTACTTCATAGCATGAAAAACAACTTGATTAGTTCTGTAAGAGTGAGGAAAATCAAAGGCAGTTTGAAGACGGACACGAGAAATGGAGGGATAAATGACAGAATTCAGTCACTGGTTACCTTACTGGAGATGAACTGGCGTAGAGAAGCTGTTGGGGACCGGCTGGGCAGAGGGCGGTTCTGTCCACTGTGCTGAGGAAGGAAGGATTGAGCCACCTGACCACACCAGTCCTCTGGAGGAGGAGATTCCCCGGGCTTCCGTCCAGCTCCGAGTACACCCATGTGTGAAGAGCCCTCAGGTTCCCTCCTCACTCTGAGTCATTCTTTTGTGACACCGGCTGATGACTAAATCTCTCTCCGGTGGCTGAAGGAAGCCAAACAGCTGTGGGTCATGTGTTTTTGGAGGAATTGATAGTACCTTCAGTAACTTAAATTTAACAACTTTCAGGGAGGGACTTAAAAAGGATGAATAACATTCCTTTATCTCTGAGTGCAATCTCTTGACCAGATTCAGCAGTTGAAATAATGTAACGTGGAAGCATTTTGTAAACTGTCCCATGCACATCGTTTTAATCAATTAATTTTTTAAAAAAGATTTTATTTATTTGACAGACAGAGATCACAAGCAGGCAGAAAGGCAGGCAGAGAGAGAGGAAGGGAAGCAGGCTCCCGGCCGAGCAGAGAGCCTGATGCGGGGCTCGATCCCAGGACCCTGGGATCATGACCCGAGCCAAAGGCAGAAGCTTTAACCCACTGAGCCACCCGGGTGCCCCTAATCAATTAATTTTGAATTATGATTACTGTTCATAGTCTCTAGGGTGTTTTTTGTTTTTTCTTCCTGTTAACTTGTCTGTTCTGATTAACTACTCTTTGCCTGCTAAGAGAGTAGGTAGGGGACACCAATCTTGGAGGATTCTTTTTCTCTCAGTTTTTCAGCATTGATGACCAAGGAGATGAAAGTGATTTAATGCAATGAGGTTCTGTACTTATTTATGAGTTTTAATTGGTGTTTGAAGGCATGACAAGGAGAGCTTACTGAAGTGGTCCCTGGAATGGAGATCCCTGTGAAAGGAGATCCCTGCCCAGAGCTGTTTCAGAGCTTGTCACGATTGACCTGCCATATCCTGGGACCACAAGTGAAGAGGAGGACGAGACAGTGCTAATCTGTAACCACCCCTCTCCCCAGGCTACCACCTCCCCCTTAAGCACACAGCCAGGTACAAACTCCATGGATTGCTTACTTTCAGTTTCCCTATATGTCAGTTTATTGCTGTAGGTCTCAGGTTTCCCAGGCTTCTCTCTTCCCTCCTTGAAAATGCAATTTATTATGGTTTAGCTGGGATGAGTGAATGAATGGCTGTATCTGTCTGGGTAGAGTTTAGACACTGCTTTCATCCTGTAAATTAAATGGGGATCTTTTTTCTCCAAAAGAACAAAAAAACCAAGACTGAAATTTACAGAGGTAAGGATGCAAGGTGCCAAAAATATGCCAGATATACTTTTCCATTATCTTCTGCAAGTCAAAGTAAAGCTTAGATAGAGAAACCTCTTAGGGAAGTAATACATTGACCCCCATCCACATGAAGAAAGGTATGAATGATTGATATCAGACCCTTCCTGTGTTATTGTCAGCGAGAGACGTAGAGAGCCATAAGAACATGGGTGGTCTGGAGGAGAGAAGGGAAAGGAGCAAAGAAAAAGCTATCACATTAGGTCATTTCTATTCTCTTCAGGCGGTCCCATATAGAGGTTCGGTTAATGGAATCATTTGTCAGCAGTGCCTTGTCTGGACTACATTCAAATTTACATCTTAAGAGCTAAATTTTCTTTCATTATATTCTTTAACAAGGCAACCTATGAAGGGCTGCTTGTTCAGAACTTTCCCTATATTAGATTTCTGGTCATCAAAGTTAACATAAAAATTACAGAACCAAATTGCCATTCTATTTTTTCCTACTTCTTTTTAAAATCGGAAGATTGCACTGTGGATTTCATTCAGCTGTAGAAAACAAAACACTAAGCAGATGACTGTCCTTTTTCTTTTAAATCTCTATGTCGTGAACAGACATTTCTACAAAGAAGACATCCAAATGGCCAACACACATAAAAAAGTGCTCCACATCACTCGGCATCAGGGAAATACAAGTCAAAACCACAGTGAGATACCACCCCACATCAGTCAGAATGGCTAAACTTAACAAGTCAGGAAACGACAGATGTTGGCGAGGATGCGGGGAAAGAGGAACCCTCCTACACTGTTGGTGGGAATGCAAACTGGTGCAGCCACCCTGGAAAACAGTATGGAAGTTCCTCAAAAATGTAAAAATAGAGTTACCCTGTGACCCAGCAATTGTACTACTGGGTATTTATCCCAAAGATACAAATGTAGTGATCTGAAGGGGCAGCCGCACCCCAATGTTTATAGCAACAATGTCCACAATAGCCAAACTATGGGAAGAGCCCAGATGTCCACTGACAGATGAATGGATAAAGAAGACATGGTATATATATATACACAATGGAATATTATGCAACCACCAGAAAATGAAATCTTGCCATTTGTAATGACGTGGATGGAACTAGAGAGTATTATGCTAAGCGAAGTAAGTTAATCAGAGAAAGACAATTATCATATGATCTCACTGATATGTAGAATTTGAGAAACAAGGCAGAGGATCGTAGGGGAAGAGAGGGAAAAATGAAACAAGACGAAACCAGAAAGGGAGACAAACCATAAGAGACTCTTAATCTCTGGAAACAAACTGAGGGTTGCTGAAGTGGAGGAGGGTGGGAGGGATGGGGTGGCTGGGTGATGGACACTGGGGAGGGTATGTGCTATGGTGAGTGCTGTGTGTTGTGTAAGACTGGTGAATCACAGACCTATACCCCTGAAATAAATAATACATTATATTTTAATAATAATAATAATAAAATCTCTATGTCGCCCATATTTCCCCCAATTTCTGCCCAAGTGTGCTTTTTCCACCTTTTCAGACACCAAAACACAAGAATGTCCAGATTCAAGGCTATCTCAGGCAACACGTTTCAGGTTTCTTGCAACTGCACTGTGCTAGGTTCCAAGCCAGAGACAGTCTTGAAAGGAGATCAGATGTAGGCCAGCACTGCAAGCTGTAATGGATCCAGCTCCTGGAGCATGGCTGTGTCACTCTTGTAAGGGGGCCAGTGAGGCAAGGCTGTTTATGGAGGGTGCATGCTGGCCTTCTCCTTCCTGGCGTAGTGGAATCCTGTCTCCAAGGTCACTCTCAGTGCAGTGTGTCTCTCTGCATAATGATGAATTGGTATTATGACTTTGCATTTTTACAAGTGTACATTGCAATTTGTACTTCTTCTCTTTGTCAACAGACAGCTTTCTTATTTCCAGCATAAAGATCCCCCTTATGACACCAACAATGACTTTTCATTCGAGCAGCTTAATGCTTCACATAAATGCATAGCTAGGCTTTGTCAAAACTAGGAGCTTTGTTACTCATTTGGCATTTCCTGATTCTCCCAATTGTAAAATGAAGCTGGGCTAATTTTTTTGTTCCCCTTCACTGTAAAGTCCTTAGTTAAACTAATAGTTAAGGACTGAATTGTGAGAACATTTGGTAGATTCTTTGAAGAAAGATCTTTCTCATTTGCAGAAGGCACAACCTTTTAGCTTATTCAAATAAGAGGTCTTGGCTGCAAAGGTGAGGTAAGGAGTAATATATTAGGGAACATTGACCTGGAAAGACAAATGAAGCAAGACAGATGAATGAAGGCTTAATAAGAAAAATGTGACTCTCACAGAGGAAGGGAGATTGGGTGTTCCTTTTGGTGTGACCATCACATGCAGAACATTTAAAAAAAAACAAAAAACAAAAAACAAAAAACAGAACGTTCCATGACATAGGAATGATTTGCTTGCCAAGTTTCCTGGTTTCTTCCAATCCAAGACAAATTCTTTTCCCCAGAATTTTAGCTGAGATGGAGACACTCAAATGAGATTAAGGGCAGATGCTAGATACATTCCATCATGTAATATGCAAGTACCACTTAGTAGGAAAGAACTTCCCAGGATCCAAGAAATGGAGAAGAGTTAGAGGCAGCTCTTAGCAGTTAGAGATAACTATTTTCAGACCCTGTTTCAGACTCAGAATTGTTTGTTCTGTGCCAGGCCTTTGCTAGGCTGATGAGATACAAAGATGAATAGGGTCTTTTTTATTGAAGAACCACTTACCATTAGCTCACTCATTGCTGATGAGGGAATCCCATGGAGCTTTTCCTGGCCTTGAATGACCCCTGCTCCTTGCTGGCTCCCAACATGTGATTCTCACTTGTGACTATTTTTTTCCCCCCACTCCTTGAGACTGTTTTAGATTGTGGAGGAAAGGGTGACCTCCTCTTCTGCTGGTGGATATGTGAACTGCTACAACCTTTCTTGAAAGCAATTTGGATACATCCATTAGAATAAAATATACAGAACACTTTTGGACCCCACAATCTCACTCTTGGGAAATTCATCCTATAAAAACAAAAGCCAGTATATATGTGTATATGAACAAGATGTGGCAATGAGATCTAAGAACAAAGTATGTGCCACCTGCATTAGGATGGCTGAATAAATTGTGGCAAATACACTTAGAGAATATTATTTTGGAGCCGTTAAATGGGAGCTCTACTACTTGGTTTGGAAGGCTTTTCGAGATGTCTTTTTGTAAAGCAAACGGAGAATCTCTGCACATGCATGAAGATATTTAAGTGAACATGGAGAAAATATGGAGGGATATGCATTGGATTGTAAATATGGGTCATGGTAGTTAGGTGGTGTAGGTGAAAAGAGAGGACAAGGCAATACAAAAAGGAAAGTTTTTTGTTTTTTTTTTAAGACTACACTGAGAATGAAATGACCCAACACAATGGCGACTAGGGAAAAGTCCTGCCCACCCCCATCGCCCCCCAGAAAATCACCAAAACCTACAAAACTTGAATCTAATGGAGCCTTTACATCCCAACACTAGTGTACAGGAAATACAGAGAAAGGAGGAAACAGAATAAATTATACACTGGAAGTCCCATTAGCAAACCAATGGAGGGAAGTCGAAGGACAAACAACTTTATTTATTCCATAGAAATAAACTGCACACACAAAAATTGGAGAGGAAATCTGTTGATTAAAGGAAGCTTAAATTAGATGTAATAACCATGTGCCATATACAGGAATTATTTGGATCCTGATTCAAAGGGACATACTTTAAAACAATAATAAATCCACTTATAGCAAT